ACTTGCACATATAAAACATGTTCCCCACTAGAGAGTATAACACAGTTTTTAAAAATGCTGTAAATAAAACAATTAGTGCATGTCCAGCCAATTTTAAGCTGAAACTCTGACCACAACCTGCTCTTGACCAGGTTATGAGTTCAGCATAAGTTGCCATAAAAAAAGCCACTTTGGTGATACAGAAAGCTCTGACTTTGAGCTCGACAGAGCTCACTAATCCATTAATCTTACTTCCCAGTACACCCCTCGTGAATTTGACTGAAGCACTGACCTGGTTGTTGATGGCCTGGGTGGTTGGAGGTGGAGTCAGTGGTTTATTGACCCTTCCTCTGGGGTTAAAAGCCATGGCTTGAGGGGGCTCACTCTGGGGCCAAAAACTCTCTGAAAACACGCCCTGCTCATCATAGAAATCCTGAAACACAAAAACAAACATAGATTTTAAAAAAACAAACAAAACTAAAACAAACAAAAGAACAAGCTAAAAAAAGACTATTTAACATGAGAAATTTTGCTTGTTTTGCCATCAGTTCAAGGGTCGGATGGTTCACATCTCTGCAGCTCTGTAGACAGCACATATCATCAAAGGAATGTAAAAGCAAACCTAAAATTAGACTTTTGGTCATCTATACGGGCATATAGCTCAACTAAAAGACATTCCTTTATGCCATTGGTTTGAAGGAAACAAGATTATCTTTTTCATGTAACACACATTATGCAACTAAAAAATACTTTCTGTGTAGGCAAAATACATCCCTCATTACCTAAATATACAGCCAGTTTTCTTTATATTGTTTATAAGTCTACCATGTTACAGCTGCAGGCGAGCAGATGCTGACACGATATCGTACATTACAGTCCAACCAGTCATAGAATGACTGTCAGCAGCAGTTTCACTGAAAGTAGTTAGACCTGGCTGGGAAGATGATCCACCTCAATGTAAAGAAGCACGAAATGCCAACATGAGTCATACCAGTAGTAACTTTCTGTTTGTCTGAGAGGCTGATCGAGTTTCACATGCTACTTAGGTGGTCTGGTATCTTCTTATCTGTGTTGATACATGTTGTGTGATGATGCAATAGTGTCATGCATTACAGTTTCCAGTAACTAGTGCCAAATGTTTAAACCAGTAATGTCAATGCTGGGATTTCAATAATTTGCACTTGCAGCCCATAATTTCATTGTACATGTGAGTACTATTCTAGTCTGTTTGTCCCGGCCATGATTTTCTTAAAGTGGAAAATACCCAAACTGTTGTTACTAAATCTGAGTAATAATAATAGAAATAACATAGTGGAATATATGTTTTGATTTTACGAGAGTCAGACATGTGTATGGATTTGGGGTAGACTGAACAGAAGAGCATCCAGAGCTGTTAACAACCTGGGTGCATCCTGTAACGGTACCATAGCACACACAGTGAGGGTAACACGGTAGACAGAGAAGTCAAACATTAACACTACTTCTAGTAAAAGGAAGTGAAGAACTGCACTAGCACTAGTACTGCTAACCTACTTAAAACAGATAGTCTTACACATACTGGAAGTTCTTCAAGAAACTCCACTGCACAGGCTTTATTTACGTCCTTGCAGAGAACAGGCCCATCTGCAGATTTTTATCACTGAATTTGAGATATCGGACCAAGATGACCTTTGAATATATTGGATATATAGTTGATTTTTCTTAAAAATGTGGGATCAGACATCATTTACAACTGATGACTAGCAATAACACCTCCAGGTGGCGTGTGGCCGACTGAAGCATTTTTGCACGCATTCTAGGGCTGTGGCCAAATATTCTACTATTCAGATATTTGTTCATTGGGTATCCATGTATATCTCAGCTTGCTAACCACATCTATCACACTCACTGCAGTTATCGTCATGCTTTGGTTCCCGCTATTGTTGCAGAAATTTAAGCACTTTCCATACTCATATTTTTATCCTCCTGCTTTGCAACAACATCTTGCTCGAATGGAACAGGAACAGCTCTCTCGCTCTGCTCTGTTCACTGGGTGAGCAAGCAGGGAGCGTTCAGAGTGGCAGGGAGCAGCGGTGCACTGTGCAAGAGGAAAAAAGTAGGAGAGCTTCTCCAGATTCAAACTTTCTCTCTGAACGCTCATCTTACATGTAAACATGGCTACAATCACAGCAGAGCAATTGTCTTTTAACCGTCATAGACATGAGGAGGACAAATAAGAAAAATAATGTCTGCAGGGATGAAAGCAAGAGCCCGTTTCACACATTGCTCAAAGACAAGATTATATTATTCAAGCAATGTTGGGTTAAGTGACGATCACATGCTGTGACTTTGACTAAACTGAGTAGATGATTTTATCTCCAAACGTGACAATCTGCAGCAAAACTGACAAGCAGGGCTGAATCTTTCTGACTGTGTGGCAGATGTTCCTTGTGTAGACTGCAGGGTACAGCAGGCTGCGGCATAAATCTGCTCCACCACGTTTTCCCGTCTACTTATTTCAGGACTTCTGGCACAAATGCTGAGTTTGAATGTACTACAATAAGGCCTTTCTAAGCCAAAACGGAAGATAATGTACCTAAATATTTCTCTAAAAAAATCAAAGACCATCACTTCACAACTGCAATATGTGTAATACTCTGAATGCCATGCTTCTCCTTGCATAGTAGATAAATTATTGAAACATTCAGCGCAGGTGAGCTGGGTTGTTTTTTTTTCTTCATTTTAGTTTTTTTTTATTCACTTCTGAGTTAACATACCTGTCCAAAGCTTGCCATGGATTCCTGGGAGCCCTCCTGCTCTTGATCTCGTCTCCCATCCTCCAAGGCATAGACAGTCCCATCTGCATCCTGTACACTTTCATCCTTCACCACTACTCCCTCTCCTCCCAGCACCTAGGGAGAAAAAAAGACAGGTCCATTTCAATTTCAAGTAGTAAAGAAATACCTTTAGATAAGTATTGGAGCTAAAAAGCAACAAAAAGTCTATAAGAGCAACCAATGCCCCAGCTACAGCCCCTTCAAGCAGGTTCTGATAAGTTGAATAACCTACAGTCAATATGCAGAAGTCCATAGATTATCAACAAGGCAATTACTGCTGAAGTTTAGGCGAGAGATCCAACTGTGAAAAGTGCAGAAACATCTCAGCGATATACGCCAATGCAGTGTGAGAAGAGGGAAAAGCATAAAAAGAAAGAAAACGAAAACGTTGCAGCTCTGCATGCCTGAAAACTGTAACCATAGCAACCATTCCCCTTATCCCCCTACCTGGAGTCTTAGCGGCTGCCTCTGCTTGCGGCTGTGGCTCGCCCCCCTGTCTCTATCTCCATCTCTTCCCCTGTCTCTCCCATCCAAGTCCTCCTCTTCGCTGTATCGGTCTATCCCCACAAGGTCATCAGAGAGGTCAGTTGTGTTGCCGCGGAGGCTGTCCCTGCCAATGCTGTCCACACTGGCCACACCGGAGCTGCAGCCCGCTGAGAGGTTCCCTGTGCTACTTGTGCTGGCTCCATTGGCTGTCTGTGCCAACAGGTCTCGGAGCTTGTACCTTACGTCCTGAGTACAGCTTGAGCTCTGCTTCATGAGGACTGCACCTCCCCCGGTGCCCATCGCGTCACCACCACACATGGCACCGGGGCCCATGTCTCCAAGTGCCATCAGGCTTACAGTGTTAGCTTGATCCATTGGGCCTGGGCCGCTCTCACTGACGCTAACGTTGGCACCCCCTAACCCACCGGCCATGTTACCACCTCCACATTCAGCCATGAAATTAGAGAAGTTGGCGTAACCCCCACCCCCACTAACAGAACAGCTTCCACTGCTGCCACTCTCTCTCCCTTTCCCCCCGCCACGCTCCTCTTGTTTAGGGAGGACCCCTCCAAGCATTCCTCCTCCAGCAGCAGCAGCTGCGGCGGCCGCTGCTGCTGCACTTGCTGCCCCTGCCGCTGCCTTCCTCTGAGAGATGATCTGAGTGCACTCATCAATGACCGTCTTAATTTGCAGGATGCTGGCAGCAGTGAGGATGCACAGGGCCTGTGACTGCAGCACTACCAGCGAGCCACTGTACATGAAGTCTACAAGCTGCTTCACGGTTTCAGCGGGCACCAGCGGCGGAACAGAGATTTCAGAATGACCGAGCAGCAACTTGTCCTGGAAGAAGGGGCTACCGGCTGCCAGAACGCAGGCGTGGGCACGCAGGGAGGCATCATGTATTCGCACGGTCACATCGCAGAAGAGGCCCTCACGCCGTTGTGTGCGAAGGGCTTCCAGCACTGATTGGCTGGAGTTGTGGAGGTGGATGTAGTGCACGGTCTCTGTGCCGGACACCATGGCAGGAGGAGGCGAGTCACTGGGAACCGGATGGGAGTGGGGGTGGGGGAGGGGGGGTAGGTGTCTGGGGTTTTGCGTCAGCTTGAGGGATAAGGAGGACAGGGAGGGAAATGGATACAGTGCATGGGCCACGGTGGGGCCGTGTCCTCTCAAACAGTCATGAGTCTGATGAATGTTTACAAACTGCTTCTCTGATATGCCTAAAGGTATGAGGAGCTGCCTTCGATGTCCTGAGTGTGGGCAATGTCAAGTGGCTGTTTCCACCAGAACGTTAACCTCTGTTAAAACCTGCTGAAATAAACCATAACAAAAACAATTATACACTAAGCACTTATAAAGTTTTCAGTAGTGCAAAAACACTACTGTGTTTATATATACATATATACATAATATATGTATGTCAAAAATGTTAATTTATTCAATTGCAACTCAAATATAAAAAATACAGAACTTGTCTTTACATTAGATTAATCAAAATTAACATTCTTTGTTTGGGGGTTGAACAAAGAGGAACCTGAATTGTTTTCCTAAAAGTCGTTGAATGGAATGCCCCTTTTTCTTATTTTCTAAAACCTTTGCAGATAGTAATAAGAATTTCATGATTTAAAATAAATCATTCACAAATTATACTAATAATCCTCAACTCTACCCCTTAATTATATTGTTCTCAGTGACTCGTTTCGTGTTGGAACTAGTTAATCCAGCCGTAACGAAAGGTGGCTGAGTAACAATTGAGCAGCTAATAATCCATCATCAAATTAGTCGCCTGCATCATCTGGCACACCTGTTTTGGTCAACCGACAGCACGTGCCGTGCGCGAGTCCAATGGTTCCCCGGGTCAGTATATGTGGTTATCTTGCACAGTAGGTGGCCGGTAATGCAACATCAGAGTTAATTACACCGTTGATTGAGCTAAACAGGCGCAGGAATAGCGAGGCAAAATGGGTGGATAATTAATAGCACTTGTTACCTAAATGTGTAACTAATAGCTCGATTAAATTGATGACTGACCAGCTAACGTTCCCTCCAGCTACAAGCGAGCAGGTTAAGAGCGGCGAGCTAACGTTAACTACCGTTAGCTGTTGATATTAGCCGCTCGAGTCTCACACGGAAATCTGCACAATTTTATACATGCAAAAAAAGCTTCGACGCCCAATAAAACACAAAAGTGGAGCACTGAATATAACAGCAACTGGCAACGTTTCTAGCATAACATATAAGCAGCAATCAAATCTCGCCCCCACGCGCAAATAGAATGCTAACCTGGCTAGTTTACTAGCTTGCGTTAGCTAGCGAAAAATTAGTAAAGTTAGCATGTCAGCAGCTAACGGGCTACCACCCTTTTCTGCACAAAGCTTCTTAAGGCTACACCTACGTGTTTTACTGTGACACTGTCATTGCATGCTATTTAATCACGACTACTTACAATGAAAAATACAGTGACAGTTCGGTTCTTGGTAGTTTCAGGCAGATGGATGCAGCAGGAAGCCCTCAAATAACGCACCCAACCTGATGAGAGCTGGTAACAAACACACATGCACGCAGTTGCACACACACGCATATACACACATACAGAAAGGGATATGGAGTTTCTCTTGTATAACGCAAGCTACACGAGCGGCAACTACTAATGTACATGCACCACTTCTATGGTATTAATTATAGGCTTGTGCATCTAAAAACGTAGTACAAATACCTGCAGACAAAGTCTAGATACAAGAGGATCTTCAACATACCTGTACACGCCTAAATAGCTTCGAGGAAATGCAAACACTCAATTGTTTAAACTCTTTAATTCTTCCCAAGCTTGTCATATGGCAAAAGAGGAAACTAATGCAAAATTTTAAATGAATTATATTCGGCAAGCACAACAATAGCAACAATATAATACAGACAAATATACAAATCACAGGAGCATAGATTTTCAAGTTAACTTTTATAGTAAGTTGTTTAAATATTGCGATTTCTTACGGTTTCTATGAGCATGTATCTGAGGGCATTTGTACAACAAGAATTCCACTTACCTGACTTAATCCCAGTAAGAAAGGCAACATGCTTGTTGAAGTTGGTGGGGCAAGATTCTTAGATCAGCCTTAATGCAGTGCTGCATGCTCAAGAATGTTCGTCATGCAGTAAATGCTTGCATGAAATGGGAGAAAAAAAGGTCAGTATCTGAACTTTTCTCTGGGTTTAAAAGCCATGTGGGTACCAGGTTCCAGTTGAAAAGTCCTAACCCTTCCCAATCACATTACATTGGCCTTGATGACAATGAGGTCAAGGAAAGGTGTAAAGGAGAGTTTATATAAAACAGAACAGCCAGTGGGACAATAGTTCAGCCCCCACCACCACCTAATCATGAGTGGCAAACTTGAATACAAAATGATGATATAATGTAATAAATATGTGCTATATATTAGACATATAATCCAAAAATTGTGGTGTGAAAAAAACCCATTCACAAATACTCATAGGTTGTGAGACACCTTAAAAATGCTATAGATGACAGATAAAAGGTCAGCGATAGATTGTCTCCATGTAGCGCATTGTTTTGAACTTGTCTGTACCCTTCCTGATTTTTGCCCATGATATCTATAAACCATCACAAGTTATCGGATGTAAAGGAACTCTTTGTGCCTTTTTAAAATAAACAAACCATGATTCTGAAAAGCAAACTATAGAATTTCATGAGAAAGTGTTGGTATTATTAAATATCTAGAATAGAATAGAATAGAATAGAATTCAACTTCATTGTCATTGCACATGTCACAGGTACAAGGACACGAAATGCAGTTTGCATCCATCCAGAAGTGCTTTAGCCATGATATAGATATATTACAAATATATATTAGCAATAATATAGATATGTGAGTATATTACAGAAATGGGTCTATTATGGTATGTTATAATGTACACGGTATGAAGTATGTTATAAATATGCTATTACTATAAGTATGTACAGGCTGTAGTGAGTACAAGCTATGTACAGGCTATGAACAGGATATAAATATGAAAAACTATACAGAATATGAAATAAATAACTTTACAGAAATCTGAGATATACAGTTATACAGAAATGTGAACTATGCAGATAATAAACAGTTGTAGTTTTAAAATTTATCGTATTGTACAGAATGATTATTTACACAGAATTATACAGTAGTGCAGTTAAGATGTGGATAATTTCTACAGAGGCTATATAAAGTGCTAGTGGTTTTGAGTGGTGGTTCAGTCCATGTTATTATTGTGTGTTTGAGGGTACAGTTGTCCATTGTGTGTGTGTAGGTGGTTGTGGGTGTGTGTATGTCCAGTCCATGTGTTAATGTGGGTCAGATGTCAGGAGGCAGAGTTCAGGAGTCTGACAGCTGTGGGGAAGAAGCTGTTCCGGTACCTGGTGGTCTTAGTCCGGAGGCTCCTGTAGCGCCTCCCAGAGGGCATGAGGGTGAAGAGTCCATGTGATGGGTGACTGGGGTCTTTGATGATTTTCCCAGCCCTTTTCAGACACCGCTTCCTGTAGATGTCCTTTATGGCAGGAAGTGGTGCTCCGGCGATGCGCTGGGCAGTTTTCACAACCCTCTGCAATGCCTTCCGGTCCGAGGCAGAGCAGTTCCTGTACCAGACTGTTATACAGTTGGTCAGGATGCTCTCGATGGTGCAACAATAGAAGTTCACCAGGATGTCTGAGGACAGGTGGTTCTTCCTCAGAGTCCTCAAGAAGAAGAGGCGCTGGTGAGCCTTCTTGACCAGCTTGGAGCAGTTGGTCGTCCAGGTGAGATCCTCGGAGATGTGGACTCCCAGGAACTTGAAGCTGCTCACACGCTCCACAGCCGTCCCCTTAATGTAGATGGGTGGATGTGGGTCAGCATTTCTCCTGTAGTCCACGATGAGCTCCTTGGTCTTCTCAGTGTTAAGCAGCAGGTTGTTTGTGTCGCATCACTCAGCCAGACGATCCACCTACTCCCCGTAGGCGGCCTCATCGTTGTCACTGATGAGGCCAATCACCGTGGTGTCATCTGCAAACTTAATGATGGTGTTAGAACCACCAGCAGGTCTGCAGGCATGGGTGAAGAGGGAGTAGAGGAAAGGGCTCATCACACAGCCTTGTGGTACACCAGTGTTCATTGTGATTGTACATGAGCAGTGGTTATCCAGCTGGACATGTTGGGGGCGGTTGGTCGGGAAGTCCAATAACCATTTGCA